TGTTCTTAAAACAACCAAGAACAATAAGTCGGGTAAACCAGGGGACGTAACCCCAAAAAACCGAGAGCACAACAGGTATCATCTCACTTGCACTTCAACGTTCAGCTAAGGATCTAGATCTTACGGCACAAGCAGCTTCCAACCGGCAATCAATCCTATTGCCTTTCAGAGACGAAGACCAAACCAGAGGAGAACAAGAAGGGTACACCTTCTTCACATAGAAATCCCAAGATTTCACTCCTCAAATCTTCTCTTCCACAAGAAGCTCAAGAACCAGCCGTTAATAAAGATCTTACTCTTTCTCGTTCTCACACCCAAATAAATCTTCTTCGGTCGTCACAAACCCACGCCTTGCACTGCCGCGTCTGGCCAACGCTCTGCGTGTCTTCCGCTAGTGCCATGCGCACCTCTAGGCGCTCCGCACTCCCGGCACAGCTCAAGAACATGTCGACTCCACATCGTTATATCCAGGACTCTACTTGAAGTCCAAAGCTCCACCTCAAAGATCCAAACTGATCTTTCGCTCTATCGCGACTCCAGCGCGATCACAAGCTCTGGCTAGCTTGCTCAGCTCGTGCAATGAGCTCCCGTCAGGCTCTCTCGCCTATGGCTGCACTCCACATGAAGTAGAAAACACCACCTCAAAAAACACATCCACCGTGTCACTTGAACAAAATACCAAGCCAAGCACTTCACCAATCGGCAAGAACAACAGGATGTCCCTATCCCATTCTCTCTTACTGCAAGGATCGCACGAGCCAGCCGCCGCGGTCTGCAGCCCGCTTTCGTGTGCAACATTCGCGCGATCCCGTCAGTCTCCAAGCGAACCCCGTTCGGGCTCGATTCCGCTCCAGCTGTACTTCAGCTTCGTTCTCCTCCGAGCCGCTCCCAAAGTCTAGCAAATCCGCCTTCGACGCCTCCAGCCAGCAGCTCCACCTCACGGAACTTTCTTGGTTTCAAGATCTAAAAGCCTACTCCGGCTTCAGCCGTGAAAACCTCAATCTCCTGCTTGCGTTCGGTCTCGAGCCACACGAGACTCCTGCTCCCGGCCTCCGATCTTCTGCTTCCTTTCTCCGGTCTGCAGCAGACACAAGTGCTGCCTCACGCGCCTCCGGCAACCCCGCTGAACCAAGTCCGGCGTCTGTTTATCTAGAGCACTTCCGCTCTAATTCTGGCGATTCAAAACTCCCGGTTTTGGCTTGCAAATCCGCCTTCGACGCCTCCAGCCAGCAGCTCCACCTCACGGAACTTTCTTGGTTTCAAGATCTAAAAGCCTTCCCCAGCATCAACCGTGCAAACCTCAATCTCCTGCTTGCGTTCGGTCTCGAGCCACACGAGACTCCTGCTCCCGGCCTCCGATCTTCTGCTTCCTTTCTCCGGTCTGCAGCAGACACAAGTGCTGCCTCACGCGCCTCCGGCAACCCCGCCGAACCAAGTCCGGCGTCTGTTTATCTAGAGCACTTCCGCTCTAATTCCGGTGATTCAAAACTCTCGGTTCTGGCTTTCGTCCGACGCTAAACGAGCTCCCAGCCCGTGCAATCCACGACCAATCCGTCCGTGCGCATCTCCGGCCAGTGCCTTGCTCACGATCAAGAAGGTCACGAGCTGCCTGCTGTAGCCTCCCGCTAGCTCCTGACCTCCCAGCCGGAGGATCCCAGCCAGCCTCCTCCTCCGGCTTCACTTCTTGCGTCACCGGCCCGCTATTCCTCCCGGTCAAAAACCAATTTGCACGTTGTTCCTTCCGATCAAGAAGCATAAACGGACAAGAACTCCAGACAAGTTCTTTCTCTCCCTTGTAATTTTCTTGGATCAAGAATCATCACTCTTGGTGGCTGACACTAGCCAACCCTTCATTTCCGGCTGACACTAGCCAACCCTCCTGAAGCCCACGCCGACCAAGACTCGCCCACGTGCTTCACTCGCCTCCGGCCAGAAGCTCTGCCGCCGGATCCGGCAAACCCTGCCAGAAGCACACGTACGGTGCCTCCGGCCTCTTCTGCACAGAGTTCGGTGAACCTCCGCCCACATGGACGTTCGCCTCACGCGAACAAGTCACGTCACCAAGCCCAGCCGGGCTTCTGCCTGGGCCTTTCTTTCTCCGGCCACCTGGAGGTTCGCCTCCTGCAACCACGCGGAACTCGTCCGCTCTGTACGTAACCAGCTCTTCTTGATTCAATAAGCCAACAAGATTTCCGTTGCTTCTTTCCAACCACAAGAAGATTTGCGTGCTTGCCAGCAGTGCTCGAAACTTACGACCGAGCTGCCCTCTTCCGCGTGCAACACTCGCACGCTCCGCATAGATCCGGCGACAGCGTCCGCTCCGGATCCGGCTCCGAGTCTAGCGACCGAGCTCGACTCCACCTTACACAAGCCACCAAGCCATCACCGGCTTCTCTAACCTCGTCTGCAGCAACGCCCGACGAACAAACGCAGCCCAGTTTGCCGCCGAAAGCCCCTCCGGCCTTCGCCGAGCCAAACCCGACGCCGCCCTCTTCTCCTCGTTTTCTTTAGACAAGAAAATTCGTCTCCGCCTCCTCCACCTCAAGATCGCATCAACGAGGCTCTGATACCTAATTGTTGAATCCAACTCGCTGCAGAGAGGAAGAACACTTCCTCTTCTTGAAGTTGAGAGAGTAGGAGGACAGAGAGAAGAGAAGGGAAGAGGGAGGCAGCCAAACAGAAATATTTAATCTCTAAACCATATCACAGCCTATTACAATCTTTCTATTTATAGACTACTAAGGCAACATCAAAAGCTATAAAACTAGCTACAACCATAAAAAGAGGACCAATACACGACATCACCTTTTCTGGAAGATGCAAATCTTTAGTAAATAAAACAATTTTTCTTTCATATTTAAGACACATTTTCAAGGCACTCTTGAAAAAGTATATGCTTTTTTTGCATATTTAAAGAGAGGAACGAATCATAATAATAGAATTCGTTATAAATAGGTGTTGTAATTAAAGAATTTTGGTGTCTCTTATGAATCTTGCACTCTTTCTTATATCAGTATGTATGTTGGATCTTCGTACAAAGTTAAGAAGTTAATCTATATATTTCTCTAACGCCGCGAATATTTTAGGACGCAACAATCTTAAATAAAATAATTAAGTAAAAATATTTTAAATTCAAAAAAATAATGTGTATATAAATTATTATTTCTAAATTATTAATAATAAAATTCTACCCTTAAAAAATTAAAATTAATTACCTAATTTTCGAAGTAAAAAAAAAAAATAGCGTGTGAGGATCGCGCGAATAGCCAGTGGAGCAAACGAGAAAAGTTAGGCTGGAGTCGCTCTAACAGACTCAACGATCTCTTTTCTGCAAATTTTCTTCGAAAGTTGAAATATTGGATTCTAAATTTTATTTATTTCTCATGTTAAATGTCTAGTTAATCTTCCAAGGAGAATCTGGTTTAGGAACGCTATTGCTTGCGTTTTTGCTGCGGTGGATTCACCTCACAGTGGGTTTCTTCCTTCAATGTGCCGTGGTTTTATGGATTTAAAGGGATTTAGGGTGCTAGAGATTATCGATTCTCATTCTCATTCGTTTTATGGATTTTGATAATCGGTTTTCTCAATTTGTTTCCAAGTTGTTGAGATTATTCAAAAGCTTTGAAGTTCTCTCAATATCTCATTTGGATATAAGGAGGGTTGCCTTCTTTCTAATGATTTGATGGTATTTTGATAGCAAACTCCGCAGGAGATATAAAGCTTGTTCATTTTTTGCTTTATTTGATTTGAAATAAAAAAAGAATGGCGATGGCGTCTATGATGAAGGTTGTTCTAGGCAGCATTGCTTTCGGCTTTTTCTGGGTTTTAGCAGTTTTCCCTGCTGTACCGTTCCTGCCTATTGGAAGAACAGCTGGTGCTCTTCTTGGGGCCATGCTCATGGTTGTCTTCCGAGTGATTTCTCCTTATGAAGCCAATGAAGCCATTGATCTTGATATTCTTGGCCTCCTCTTTGGAACCATGGTTGTTAGCGTCTACCTCGAGAGGGCTGATATGTTCAAGTATCTTGGCAAATTGCTTACCTGGAAGAGTAGAGGAGGCAAGGATTTGCTCTTTAGAGTCTGTCTAGTTTCAGCCATTTCTAGCGCTTTGTTCACTAATGACACTTGTTGTATTCTTCTCACCGAATTCATTTTGAAAATTGCGAGGCAGAACAATCTCCCTCCCCAACCTTTTCTTCTAGCTCTTGCTTCCAGCTCAAATATTGGATCTGCTGCTACTCCTATTGGTAACCCACAAAACCTTGTTATAGCTGTTCAAAGTAAGATTTCTTTTGAGAAATTCTTGTTTGGGATCCTGCCTTCTATGTTGTTGGGTGTGCTAGTCAATGGTGCAATACTTTTATGCTACTTTTGGAAGCTTTTATCTATTGAAAGGGATCAAGAAGTGGAGGCCGAAGCCGGAGATTTGGTTGTAGAAAATGAGGTGATCAATTCTCACCAATCGCCTCATGCTAGTTCTGTAAATTCTAGGGACTTTAGTTTTGGCATTGATGTTGTAACACCGAGTTCATTAGTGAATGCAAACTCATTGCCAAATTCAGTTGCAAAGGATCCTCCTAATGAGAATTGGAAGAGATTTTTGTGGAAGATATGTGTCTATCTTGTGACTATTGGAATGCTCGTTGCTCTTTTTCTGGGGTTTAACATGTCATGTACGGCTGTTACTGCTGCTCTTGCTCTTGTTGTTCTTGATTTCAAAGACGCCCGACCTTGCTTAGAGAAGGTTCTTTCTAATGAAGAATTTTATTATTTTTTCAAGATTATTTTGCTATCAACTTAGGTTCCATTGGAGGCAGCTTTTGAAACTTAAGTGGCCGCATTGAACTTTTTCAACCTTGGCCCCCTTCTGATACTAATTATGAATCTATCATGTTCAGTAGTCAACAACATTGATGTGGTAGCTTTTGAATATTTCTAATATAGCCTGAATTTTTCTGTCTGTTGAATTTGTTTTAGGTTTCATACACATTACTAGTATTCTTTTGTGGGATGTTCATAGCTGTACATGGCTTTAATAAAACAGGAATACCAAGCACCCTTTGGGAAGCTGTTGAAAGGTATTCACGAATTGACAGTACAGGTGGGATTGCATTGCTGAGTGTGGTCATCCTTCTTCTATCTAATGTTGCCTCAAATGTCCCTACTGGTAAATTGTTTGATTCTCTTTTTCTTTTGTTTTTTTCTTTCCCAAGCTACTGAAAGTATGCAATAGATTTTCAACTGAAATTTTCCTAAGGTTTTTACGTTGATGATGTTAAAATTTATATTATTGAGGAGAAACAGAACTAGCATTGTTGCGTCCTGGAGTATTCACGGCAGTAGAGAAATATATAGTTTAACGTCTTAGCATTGTACGAAGATCCAACACACAACCAGATAAGATAGAGGGTGTAGCGTTCATAAGAGACACTAGAGTTTTTATGAGAAAACCCCTCAGAAGAAAGAAAAACCACAAGGCCTGACCCAGTTTGAATGAATCCACTAGTATTTGTAATCGATTACAAATGAGACCCTTCTTAGAGAGAAGGCCTTGGCTTGATGTCACAAATATACATCATATAGAGCGCATTATATGGTGGGAGTTACAATAATCAACATAGACATGTTTGCTTGGTCGGCAGGACCATAGTCGATATGATAGAGGTTGGAAATATTGTAGCAGGTAACGGAGATTAGAAGGACCGTAGTTGGTATGAAACAGGAGTTAGAAAGACCATTGTCCAATGAGGGAGGTCGGAAAGACCGTAGTCGGCAGAAGACCGGGGCCAGAAAGATCGCTGTCTGGCGATGGAGGTCCGAAAGCGACCGGGTGGAAGTCGATGGCCAGGTGAAAGTTCAACAGAGGTCGGAGGTACTTCGAAAAAGTCCTTGTGGAAGTCCAACGACAGTCAGTGGCCGGTAGAGGTTCGGCGGCGGTCGGCGACCGGGCGGAGGTCCAGAGGCGGTCGGCTGCTGGGAAGTGGTCCGATGACACTTGCACCAAAGTCCGACGGCGGTCGGTGGCCGGGCGGTGGTCCGACGACAGTCGGATCGAAGTCCGATGGTGGTTAGCGGCCGGGCGGAAGTTTGATGGTGATCGGTGGCCGGGCCATCAATATAAATTAAATCGGAAAACATCTAAACTCCGATTTAAACTAATTTATATTAAAAAATTAAATATTCAAACCGGATAATTTAATCAAAATAAAAATATACATGCATTTATTTTAAATAAATAAATATAAATAACAGTTATATAAACTTATATAAATATAACAGTTATTAGGCTCCTTTTTAATTAAGCCTTAGGAAATAGAACATGGAAATAAAATTTAAAATTTATTCTTAATAGAAACCGTGACTTAAAAATCCGGTTTCTAAGGATTGGTTTCTTAAGAAACTGGATTATTTTAATCCGGTTTCATAATAATAATTATGGAATTTTATTTTAAATTCGGGCATTTATAGAAACCGTATTTTGAAAATTCGGTTTCTATAGAAACTGTATTTTGATGGTTCGGTTTTCATAAAATACGATTTTTCTAAGAACCGTATTTTGCCAGTCCAGTTTTACTCCTTTTTAAATTTTTTTTGTTGACCTGCTCCTCAAACTAATTTAACATTATAACCTTCTCTTTTTGTAAAATGGCCTATGGCCTATTGTTTATCAGCATTACCATCGTAAGTAATTTAACTATTTCAATTTCATGTGACTCAGTAATTCTCCCATAAAGTACTGCCATATTTTTTTGTTTACAGTTCTCCTATTAGGGAGTAGAGTCGCGGCATCAGCAGCATCAATCTCTGCAACAGAAGAGGCTCGTGCTTGGCTGATACTTGCATGGGTGAGCACAGTGGCCGGAAATCTCTCTCTACTTGGATCTGCTGCAAACTTGATAGTCTGTGAGCAGGCTCGAAGGGCGCAGTTTTATAGTTATAATCTCTCCTTTTGGAGCCATTTAAAGTTTGGAGTTCCTTCTACTATAATTGTTAATGCAATTGGTTTGCCCTTCATAAGGAGTTACTGATGTCAAACATATTCTGCTTGAAATAGCATCCATTTAGGTAATGATTGTGCTTCCTCAAACGACTAATGCTTGTTCCTATAATAATTGACATATTGTATTCAGTTTGTCAAAGTTTAGATGTGAAGAAATTGTTTCGAAGTTGACACAAATTTGTCCTTTATTTGTAATTTTTAGTCTGATGTTACTTCATCATATAGTAAACTGAAACCTTCAGTATCTTCCAAATTTTTTACATTACTTGATCGAGTTTTCTTGCCTTGGCTTTGATTTAAGTATGATCAGAAGTGAATTACTTGAAGCTATAGGAGATCTGCTAAAATGCTTGTTTGCAGATGATGAGTGTTTGGTATGATTAATGTAGTACTGTATGTCAATTCTGCTTTGGTTTCTCCTATGGCTTTTAGTCGGTTCTAGTCATATCTGTGACCTCCTCCGATATTTCGGTTGTTGCATCTCCATAGAAGGTTTTGTTTGAGACAGCTTTCTTACTGCTTTTTAAACAATTTTTTTAGTAAAAAACATTTTGAGCTATAAATTTTTGTACTAAAAAATTGCTTTAAAAAATAGTAAGGAAGATGTCCTAAATGTGCACAAATCTTCAACAACTTGCAATTTTTCTGTTCTTCCTCTGCATCGGTTTTTCTCTTTTAAGGTTGATTAGGAGAGCTTTTCCTCCTATTAGCCTTTATAAATAGAAATCTTAAGCAAATGTAAAAATAAGTTTTGTTCCATAAAGTTTTAGTTGGGTGTGATATTGAGAGCAAACTCATTCATCAAATGGGAGATTAGAAGGTTAAGGACAGAGGATAAATAATTAAGATTATGTTGTTTAGTTTAATTGAAATAGGTGCTTTAAGTTATAGTCGCAAAGAAATTGTTTGTTAAGGGATAGTTTGGAATCCCTTTTTATTCAAAATATGTATAAACTACAGTAAATTATATGCTCAAAACAAACCTGTTCAATAAAAAACAGAAGTAAACCAAAAAGATAAAAAAACAAAGGTGTCCCATCACCTCCTTTAGTTCCTCTATCATAAAGAGGTAAATGTCTGCTACCTTGCGCCCACTTCTATTCCGCCAAGCAATTTATTCTTTGGGGCAAATCGTCAAACACATACGCGACGCCATGGATTTAAAGGGCCTCCTACCTACCGCCACAAACTTCCTCAATCTCCTCTGTTGGACGCGTAGCGGCCGCCATGGATACTACGCACTAACTAAAAGAGAACATTCTTGTTTTAAGCATAGCTTATATATAGCTTCTTCGTCCCCATTCTCTCATCGACTCACTCCACAACTTCTTCTGTGCTATTATAACAGCAAAACATGGCGGAGTCATAAGCAAGACGTCTTGTAAATCTGTACACATCTGATGTGCCCACTACTATGCGCAGCAGGTTTGTATTCCTTTTTGTCTGAGTTAATGCTAAGTCATTAGCTATGTTGCACCCTTACGGATACGGCGACACGGATACGACACGATACGGATATGGAACATAGCAATTCTAAAACATATATGATACGGATACGACGCGGATACGACATTGTAATATATAAATCATACATAAGAAATAACAAATTAATCAAAGCATAATATTTGAAATGACAAAAAAAATTGAAATCAACATCATTTGTAGTATTGTATCATATAATATCAAAATAAAAGTAAGCATTAAATATTTAAATGTCTAGTACAACAACAAAAGCTAAAACATAAATTGTCCAGCATATGAAGTTTTTAATTACAAGTACAAAGGATTGACACAATTAATCCACATGAATTTGAAACATGAAAATTTTTAATAAAAAAATATAGATATGTTGTGCCTATGCCGGGGGTCTAAGGGGGCGCTGCCCCCTGGTGGAGGTTTCCGGGGGCAGCGTCCCCGGAACAAATTTTTATTGTTAGAGTTGCTTTGAAGTTTTCTCTACCTTCTCGGCACTAATTGGTACCATTCGGTACCCCTCTGTACCGAGCAGTACCGAGAGGTACCAAGTTTTGGTACCGAGTGGTACCGAGTTCCGGTACCGAGCAGTACTGAGTTCTAGTATCACTCGGTACCAAGTAGTATCGAGCAGTACCGAGCGGTACTGAGTACCGAGCAGTACCGACAAGTATCGAGCGGTACCGAGTACCGAGCGGTACTGAGTTCTAGTATCGCTGGATACCGAGCAGCACCGAGCAGTACTGAGTATCAAGCGATACATGTGTCCGATCAAATTTAAATATTATTTTAATTGGACACGGCAAAGTCGTATCCGACACGTATCCGTGTAGTATCGGAGGCGTATCCGTATCCGACACATGTCCGATACAACATGCCTCATAAATAAGCGTATCCGTGCAACATAGGTCATTAGGCTTCCATCAAAGAGGAATTTTACTAGTTTACATGTCTATGCTTATTATGTGCAACGGTCGGATTCGTCCGGAGACCAATATAAATGCGCACACCACCCAAAAAATATACCGCACTCGATACCGAGCGCGTAATCGGACGGGAGAACCGTCAGGCATCCGCACAAAATAATAGCTCCTAAGCTGGGCCACGAAGAACTAGATACTAGGAATAAGTTCAGAGAAGTCGACTTTATACAAAAATGAAATCAACATATACAATGCATATTCAATTATGTGTATTACATATGTTCATGAATGCAATATAATATAATGGGCGCAATAGATGTTCATGTGTTTAAGACACAACTCTATTTCTATTATGCTCAAAAACTTTATTTTAATGTCAGCTGCATATATGATCTTGATGACTCTTTTTGTTCGGCACAACATTATTCTAATCGAGTTTTATTTGAGTAAAACATCTTATACTCCACATTATTAATAACACATATATAATAATAAAATTCATTTAATATATTTTTTTAAATATAATAATATTAAATTAGCATATGAGGAGGCCCGTGTAGCAGAGAAGATGACAGCAGCTCATCCTTTTCTTTCAAAAATAGGCATGTCCTTAGGTGGAATCCATGTCTTAGCAAGCAGGCTGATGCAGATCCAAATGCAAAGCACAGCAAAATGCCTACCTAATAATGTCTTCATGGAGACCATGCCTCAAAATCCGGTCTCCGTGGCTGATGCTATGAGAGTTTTAATGCAGATTAATAGCAAGGCAAAGGATGTGCTTAGGAAGCTGCTACTAATGGGAGACTTTGATGCTTTTCCGGATGAAGAACAAAGGCATGACATGGCTCGGCTAGCCAAAAATCTGCATGCTTATGTGATCGCATTGCCAAATAATATCCCGACTAAGGAGGCAGCTTTCTTATTAGAGGTATGTCACGGTCTTCTTACCCTCAGAATTGCTGAAACGAAAACATATGATGTGGAAATTTGTGACAAAACTGCTAGTAGTCGTATTAGGAAAGCTTTTACTACAGGTGTGAAAATGCTCCATTTGGATTTGACTGATAACGTTGATCCTGTGCAATGCTCCCAAGCTGCTCGACGTAATGTTGCTACTAACTTCGGGCAGTTGGTTGTTGACGATTTCACTGCTAAAATTGTCGAGGGAGATCGATTCACAGATCAAATTCTTCATCTACTGGAAATCACAAAGCAAGAGCAGCATCATGAGTTATTCAAAGCATGTGAAGCTGCATCTTTGTCTAGAAATGATCTCCTTGGGAGAGGCAAGGACAAAGAGTTTGTTATGCAGTTTGTTACGGCGATGCCAGAGAAGAATGTGTACACTTGGAGTAGCGCAATGAGTGGTCTTGCCTTGAATGGAGCAGACAAGCAGTGCATTGAGGTCTTTGAGCTCATGGAGAAAGAAGAGTTAGAGCCCAATGAAATCACATTTGTTTCTATTCTCCGTGGGTGCAGCATTGCAGGCTTGGTTGATAGAGGGCTTGAGTATTTTGATTTGATGAAGAGTAAATATGGAATTGAGCCTTGGCCTGAGCATTATGGCTGCATGGTGGACTTGTATGGCAGAGATGGGAGACTCGAAGAGGCCATTCTACAGGAGGAAAATATTGAGAACAAAGTTTTCGATCCCGGAATCTGTCTTATGCAACAATCTCTTTTTCATTAACGAGCCTCGAACGGAGTCGAGCTCTTTTTCAATAATAGGCTTTCTTTCTACATGTGATGAGCTTTTGGAAATTAGTGAAATTACTTTTACATAATTAATCAATTTCATCATCATGAATAAAATTAGTGACATAAATAAACAATTTTGTCATCATGAACCAAATTATTTTAATCATATATATGTATGTAATAAGTGGCAGACAAAGCTTTCTTTCTACATGTGATGAGCTTTTGGAGCTTTGCAAAAAAATGAGAATAACCCACCGCTGTTTGTCCGGGTGGTGAAGAGCCGGATGGGCAAAGTCTAGGTCCCTGGTTCGAATCCCATGGCAAGCAGTGAAAGCCTTAAATGTTGGCCCATATAAATTGGTGTGGGTTGCATGCTAGGTCAGCCGAGGTTTTCATTGGCCTAAGAACAGTGCTTCCTCGTCACAAAAAAAAAGAGAATATTCTCTTCTGAATGACTTGATTGTGATTAATTGTAATAAATGATGCTTTTTGACTGTAATTAATCGTTAGTCCTCTATTATAATCAACAAATTTTGGTTTTTTAATATTTTATTTTTTTTGCTTCATTGTTTGAAAAGCTTTGAATGGATTTGGGTATAAAGCTCTCTTTGATCTATTGGTTGGGAGCTTTGACTATCAATAAGAGTGAAATCATTTTCTTTTTTAAGTATGGGCAAAAATATAATTATGAAATATATAATATGTAATTGAATTTTGCAAGAACTACTAAGCTTTTTAGTCATGAGATATATGTGTTGCATTTCATGTAATATGACGTTTCTTCGAATTTTACCATTAGCTTTTTTTTATTCAAAGAATGATTAGATCTATTATATGGGCTTTAAGTGTTATATTTTTATATATGGAAATCTATGGGCTTTTTGTGTTATATTTTACAGTAATGTGTAGTGTGATATCACTAAAGATTTTCCATATGATTAACGTGTTAGGAAAGCACTTCTCTTAGGGAAATTTAAATTTTGACTTATTATTAAGGATATTCCATCACATAATAATAATAATATATATTTTTTTAATTTTTCATCATATAAATGCATTAGTAAAACTCGTCTCTTAGATCGTCAAATATTTGTCAGTTGTCGATTTTGACCGTTCTCATCTGGTTCGACCGTGAGGGGCTCCCTCTTAGATGAATTCGATGCTCTGTTCTCAACGATGCAATCCATCCCTTTAAGTGGCGTGTCATGCTTGTCGATTGTCATATGAGTCATCTGTTTCCCCCATTTTACATGTTTTTTTATATATGGGAAAACATTAGGGATCATATTATAAAACAAGGAGCTCATTTTGTTTGTATTCATGTAGATGGTTTGGGTTTTTTGGATTTTCTAATATTGTGCCTATTAATGACATTTCTTGCTCCCATTTATTAGTTGATGCTTTGGTTTCTGTGAGGTTGGAGAAGCTGCATATGAATAATTGCTCTACTATTAATTATGGTGACATTTTCGATTGATTAAATGATCTGTGGGGTGTTAACTTATGTTGGTGGGGAAGTTAATGTTGGTAATTGTCATGATTCATAAGAGAATGTTAATTTGGATGTTGTGAAATTTGACAATGCTGATTTTTATAATGTTTCATGGAACAAAAAAAAATCTAAAACTTATTGAAAAAATTGTGCTAAACTTTAAGCTTTCTTTTGGTCTTCGTTATGTTCTTAGGTTTCTCTTATGCTTTGAGCATTCTAGTTTTTTGCTGGAGTGGGATCGTGGTCTCTGGGCTGGCCTTTTTGGTGGTGTGTCGCTCTCTTTATTGATGTTTGTTTGGGTTCTAGATCGGTCAACGAGTTCAAGTGCTGGTGGTTGTTTCTGTATCAGATATGTTGGCTATTAGCACTTCGGTTCTCGGATGGGCCCTTGGTGTTCTTTTTTAGGTTTTTGGTTTGGTTTTTATTCACAGTCACTGTCGCTTGTGCCTGTTCATTTAGTTGTTCTACTTCTGCGGTTCGATTGCATTCATCTATCTCCAAGCTTCGTTTTTTTTTTGTTGGTCTGTCCTTAGTCCTTTTTTGGTCTTACTTTATCCTTTTTATGTAACTAGCAAGGGATCTTAAACTCCTTTGGTTGTAGCTCTTTGAGCATTTAATGAGTTTTCGAACCCTTTTTAAGCACTTTGTAACTATTTTTCCATATTTAAGCTTAAGCCTTTTATGAGTTTTAATGAAAATAATCAAAATAATAATAATAATTTTGACTTGAATTTGAAAAAGAAACTTATAAATAAGTTTGAATAAGATTTAAAATTCAATGAATGTTTATACTGTGATTGAAAATAAATAAATGAATTTAATAAAATATTCTACTGAACTTAATTTAATTTATTTATAACCCTAAACATTAACCAATAATAAAATGAATTCATTGGGCTATAGGGTTATAAATGAGCCTAATTAATTTGATGTGAGTTCATTATTTGTTTATGTTTGGCTACTTCAAAATTTTGTTTGTTAAGAGTACATCACATCGTCTAAATTATTAGTGAATAATATGCTTGTGTTTGATTCATTTGTTCTTATGTGGCTTGTGTTCAATTTCAATTAGTTCGAAATACTTAAAAAATATTAAATTTTGATTTTTTTAAATAACTCATAAAAAATTAAGTTATTTGTTATTAAAATTTTCTAATTTCAATAACCAATTAAGTTTAAAATTTGACAAACCAACAATATAATCTGACATTATTAACAACAAGTTCATTATTAAAAAAATAAAATAAAATTTACAAAAACTTTAATGACGGCCTAATGACATTATAAATATAGATTACTAAAAAAAATGAAATTCATGAATTAAAGATGACTAATCATTCAAAATTCATTTGTTTTGCAAATTAAAAAATATAAATTCAAAACTAAACAATAATTAAATACTTAATTGTTCCATTTCAAGAAATCAATAAGAAAAAAAAACTTAGATTTCACTTGTAAATGATCAAAATGGGGAATCTGACCATTTCAAGAAATCAAAAAGAAATTTAAAAAAAAAAAATTACGCAGATTTCAGTTATAAATGATCAAAATCGGAAATCAAGCGACATATAGAATGAAATATTAAAGAAAAATATATTTATATATACAGAGGGACCACCAAGTGATGCATAAATAAAATAGAGTACCTCGATCAAGTGGTTAATGCTGAAATATTATGCATTCTTTACATTTCATATATATCAAACAAATAAGATAAGAAGCGAGAAGTTTGCAGCTTATGTATTTTGAATTTTTCATTAAAGTAATTGGACTTATTATCTTTTGGGAGAAATAAAGATAATCGGAATGTGAGCAATCTTATGGCGATCGGAGCCTCCATCCGCTCCATAGCGCTCCTTTAACTCTGGATGACATCCCCAAATTGTTAGACGTTCCAAAGAGGGAGGAAGGTTCGGTAATTCCCGAAGCATAGGAACATCATAAATAGATAGTTTCTGAAGTGAAGATAAGCTTTCCAAGGAGGAAGGGAGAGACTGTAAGGATTTGAGAAATGAAAATTTCAGCTCGGAAAGAGAAGACCTAACATTTAGAAACCACTGCTCCGCCTCATTTGGAAATGAAACCACCTCATCATTATGCTGGATTGACAGTTTTTTTAAGGCGGCGTTACTTCTCAATGGCTCCATTAGCAACACCGATGGATCATTTATACCGAGATAGCTGAGCATGAGATGGCAATTATTAGTGGTCTCCACTTCTCGATATCTTCCCAGAGAGATCAGATTGGGGCAAGTTATAATTCTCAAGGATCTTAGTGCTGCAAGTCTTGCTATTTCATCAGCCAGAGGAAGAGATGTAATGTTTGGACACCGATAGATCTGTAATGCTGTAAGGGGAATAGGATTTGAATTGCTACAAAAATTCAAAGTCGTCCACCCAATGTTTTTTATAGACAATAGCTTGAGCTTAGAAGGCAAAGAGGGCAACTCTTTCAACTGCGGGCAATTATATAGCCACAGTTTAATTAAGCGAGGAAACAAACATCCATCTTCAGCAGCTACTCCTGCCTCAAACCAATCCTCTAATGCTTCTAATCTGTAAATAACTAAAACCTTTAGCAATGGAAAGGCACGGTATTTATCATTCCCATTAAATTTACTTTCCAGCCATTTTACTTTCGGCATGTTCCAAAGTTTCAGTGACTTGAGGAAGGGAAGTTGCCCAAAAGGTGGAAGAGTTTCACACTCCAAGCAGTCTGTCAATAAGATTTTCTCTAGATTGAAGATCGTATTGACATTGTTCATCCATATTGCAAACCTTGCACCCATGTAATTTCTTATAACAAAATTCCTTAGACATTTTGATGGCTGAAGATTGTCGAGTACGTTCTAATCGGAATTGATGTTCCTCAAATCAGTGTTACTCCAACATAAGGTTAAATTTGTGAGCTTCTTCTTGGTGCATAATCTGACACTAGAAGCCTCCTCGGCATCCTTAATATTTTCAAGGCGTTTGATTCCTAATTTGCAAAGTTCATTCATATTTTTCAGCTCCCCAATTCTATAACCACTCACATCTCTAAGATCAAACATATTGAGTTCTTGAAGAGACTTTAGCTTCCCAATCCCACATATCAATGAAATGCAATTCTTGGGCAATATCACGTAATGCAAGTTAGAAAGGTTATTAAAGCCACTTGGTAAAAAATCAACTTTAGGTTGGCTTGACCCCAATGGCCTATCATAGATTATGTATTGCAAGTGATAGAGATTACTCAGAGATCTTGGCAGCATGGTCAAAAAATTATCAATCTTTAAGTATCGAAGATGTATCAAATTTCCAATCTCCTCTGGTATCATTTCCAAGCCAAATGAAACATGTATGTATAATAAACGTAGGTTTCTCCCTGTTCTGAAAAATTCAATAAGTGCGTTGATATCCTGATTAGAAGCTTTGCCGAACAAGAAAAGAGAATGCAAATATTTAAAATGCCCAATCTTTTTTCTGATGTATGGATTTGTAGTTTTAACATACAAGTGTCGAAGAGTCTTAGGAATTATAGAAGACAACTTAGTATCATCCTCAACTCTTAAGCATTCATGTTTGGAAACTGATTGTGCTAATTCATGTATTAAATCATGCATCTTGTAGTATCGTCCAAAATCTTAATCTTTTATAATCATTAGGATTCTCTACATCAGCAAATGCATGAAAGTTGAGGAGCTGCAAACACTGATCTTCCTCCAAGCCCTGTAATTTAAACGTTTTCTTCTCCTTTTGAATCACCTTTGCAATCATAGTTGCAACTGAGTCCATTCGAGTTGTTACCAAAATCCCACTATCAATTTTCCCATAAGCCAGAGGGGCGAGCACCTTCTCCCATTTGCTGATATCATGCTTCTTCTCCTCCTCCCAAATGTCATCCAGAATAAGTAAGAACTTCTTCGACATAATCTCGGTCCTAAGACTATTTTGAAGTGCATCAAGTGATTCGTCCAAACGAGGCCTCTCCTTCTTAAGAGTTGATAACATATCTACAATGACTTTTTTCACATCGAAGTTGTTGGAAACGCAAACCCACATTTTAAGATCAAAAAATTCCTTTGTCATTTCATCTTCATAAACATGTTGCAAGAGAGTTGTCTTCCCCATACCACCATGGCCCACTATAGATAGAAGAGAAATGTTTCTGTACAAATCAGTTCCCCGATGCTCGTTTGATGGTTTCCTCAACCACTGCATAACAAACTCCTTAGCATCGCCTCTACCAATGAGATCATTTGTAGGCAAGGATCCTGTTTCACGTGTTTTGTAGAAATCAACCTCCTGCTCCTTCTGTTCCTGCTTCGTGCTGTCTAAAAGACGAAGGAAAGTAGTAACATCAGCCGAAACTTTATCAAGTTTCTGCACAGCCTCCTCCAGTCGCTTCAAGTTGGGATCTCTTTTGAGAACACGCTCGCCAATTTTGAGAATTTTACAAGGAATTTCAGATAGGAAGCTCGTGAACTTTCTTTTCTGATCATATTAGTTAGAAATAGATTATCAACTTAATATATTCGCGAGCAGAATAAATTAACTAGGAAGCTGCGGTGGCGGAACGCACCTTTGTTTCTTCCGTGTTTGTGGTCAGCTGTTCTTGATGCTTCATGTACTCAAACTCATCGAGCACATCATTTGCCTCATCAATAGCATCTCGCAGCTGCCATATCCATTTGTTGATAGGGTGGTTCTGATCGCTAATTTGTGCTTGGTTAGCGGCAAAGACGACAGCTTGGATCTTCGGGTGGTTCTCTCGCAAGCTTTCCAGCTCCTTCTTGATGCCCATCTGCCATCCGACTTGTTCTTGCAGGTAATCAGAGCAAGCGTTGATGATCTTGTCCATGATTGGACCAACAAACCATTCCGCCGCCATGGCACCGATGATCGAGGTAGAGAGAGAGCAGAAAAACTGAACAGTAAGAGAAATGGAGAATGATTGGAAGAGATGAAGATTAGATACTCTAATAATTGAGAGAGAGAAAGAGAGAGAGAAGATGAAGCTGCCGCGTAGTCGGTAAGCCCACTGAAGTCTTTGTCATAAAATAAGAAAAATGAATGTATTTTAAAATAAATGAGAAGTTTGATTTTGATGGGAAAACCATTTTAAATGAATGCTTTTTATATAATATAATTGAATAAATTTGTAAAATTTTAATTTGTTGGTGAGATAAAGATTTTTTTACCAAAACGTTGAAGTACCTCTCCAGCAACCTTTGTAGTCTCACCTAGATTGTTAGATGGTTGAATGAAACCCAATGCAATCCACATTCGAACTAAATCATCTTTGTTAAACTCATAATCTTGTGGGAACATGGAGCAAAATGAGAGACAATTTTGTAGAACTTTTGGGAGAAATAGATAGCTCAATTTTAAAGCGGACAAGATATCATTCTGACTTCCAATATCATGGTTTAAAACTCTTATCCAATGACTTTCGTGCAAATAAGAATTGAGAACTCCTGCTATGACTCTTGCAGCCAATGGAGATCCTGAAAGTTTTTTAACTATCTTTCACGTGATGAGCATTAAAAGTCTCTAAATTGGCAAATGCATATCTGAGGAGGAGAAGCAAACACTCATCATCCTTCAGGCCATCGAATCTCAACATTTCATTCTTCTTTTTCAAAACATTTGAAATCATTAATGCAACATATGCCATCCGAGTTGTCACCAAAATCTTACTTCCCAATTTTCCAGAAGGCAGAGGGGCGAGAACATTCTCCCATTTGTTTTTATCTTGCTCCTTATCCTCATCCCAAATATCATCTAGCACAAGTAAGAACTTCTTGGAGTTCACCAGAGACTCGAGACTTTTTTGAAGAGATTCCAACATATTTGCAATGACTCGATTCACATCAAAGTTGTTGGAAACACAAATCCACATTTTAAGATCAAATTCCTTTGTCATTTCATCCTTATAGACTTGTTGCAAGAGAAGTGTCTTCCCCATGCCATCATGACCCACTATGCATAGCAGAGAAATGTTTTTGTACATAGTAGTTTGATATTCATTTGATGGGTTTTTCAGGCAAGGATCCTATTTTACGTGTTCTGTACAGCTCAAGCTGCTGCTCCTGATGCTCCTGCTTTGCATCTTTTACTAGATGAAGGAAAGTAGCAACTCCAGCTGAAACTTTATCGAGTTTCTACACAACCTTCTCTAACCTCTTCAAATTGGGATCAATTTTGAGAGCACGTTTGGCAATTTGGACAAGCCGTTTATTTATGGATTTCATGATGGAATGCACCTTTCTCTGCTTCTTGTCTTTGGTCAGCTATTTTTCAAGCTTCATGTACTCGAAATCATCCAACACATCATCCATAGCATCTTGTAGCTTCCATAGCCATTCGTTCAGAGCCGGAGGGAGAGAGAGTGGAACTGTAAGAGAGAGAGAGAGAGAGAGAGAGAGAGAGAGAGAGAGAGAGGGGAAGGGGTGATTCCTTGGAAAGCTCTGCATAGAGTGGGAATGTCATTAGAGGTATAATTTGTTGGTGAGTTAAGGTATGGTTAAAAAAAATTAATAAAAATATCTTAAAAATATAGTCTAATAATATATATATTGAAAATTTTCCATTTTTTGTATTTTTTTTCACTATTTTAAAAACTGGATCGATCTGGGAGTTCAACTGTGAATTGATCTTATGACTAGTTTGATTCATTATGAAAATTATTTATGTATCAAATAGGAATGAACCGGCTAGAACCGCTGGTTCAACCATAGCCGGTTTATTCCTGAAATCAATCTTGATTTTCTTAATACACTTGATTTAATTTTTGAATTAAATAAATCAAATCAAAATTAAATATTATTTAATACTAATAATAAAAATATATTTAATTATAGTCTATTATATATTTACAGGATATACAAATATATAATAATAATTTTTATTTATTAAAACAATGAAATAATAATAAACACAAGCATTCTAAAATGATCAATAGTCAAAGGGCCAGGTGGCCCCAACTTTACAAAAGTAAAAGTTTGTGCTTACGGCTATAATACTTAACTAATAATAGGCTTTCTTTCTACATGTGATGAGCTTTTGGAAATTAGTGAAATTACTTTTACATAATTAATCAATTTCATCATCATGAACCAAATTAGTGACATAAATAAACAATTTTTCATCATGAACCAAATTATTTTAACCAAATTATATATTCTCTTCTGAATGACTTGATTGTGATTAATGGTGATAAATGATGCTTTTTAACTGTGATTAGTCCTCTATTGTAATCCACAAATTTTGATTTTTTAATATTTTATTTTTATGCTTCATTGTTTGGAAAGCTTTGAATGGATTTGAGTATACAGCTCTTTTTGATCTATTGGTTGGGAGCTTTGACTATCAATAAGAGTGAAATCATTCTCTTTTTTAAGTATGGGCAAAAATAGAATTATTAAATATTTAATATGTAATTGAATTTTGCAAGAACTGCTAAGCTTTTTAGTCATGGGAGATGGGTGTTGCATTTCAAGTAATATGGTGTTTCTTTGAATTTTACCATTAGCTTTTTTTATTCAAAGAATGATTAGATCTATTATGGGCTTTAAGGGTTATATTTATATATATGGCAATCTATGGGCTTTTTGTATTATATTTTTTTTTGTAATGTGTAGTGTCATATCACTAAAGATTTTCCATATGATTAAGGTGTTAGGAAAGCATATCTCTTAGGGAAAATTAAATTTTGACTTATTATTAAGGATATTCCATCATATAATAATAATAATATATTTTGTTTTAATTTTTCATCATATAAATGCATTAGTAAAGCTCATCTCTTAGGTCGCCAAATATTTGTCAGTTGCCAATTTTGATCGTTTTCATCTGGTTCGACCGCGAGGGGCTCCCTATTAGATGAATTTGAGGCTCTGTTCTCAACGACGCAATCCATCCCTTTAAGTGGCATGTCATGCTTGTCGATTGTCATATGAGTCATCGTTTTCCCCCATTTTACATGTTTTTTATATATGGGAAAACATTAGGGATCATATTATAAAACAAGGAGCTCATTTTGTTTTTATTCCTGTAGATGGTTTGGATTTTTTGATATTGTGCCTATTAATCACATTTCTTGCTCCCATTTATTAGTTGATGCTTTGGTTTCTGTGAGGTTGGAGAAGCTGCATCTAAATAATTGCTCTACTATTAATTATGGTGACATTTTAGATTGATTAAATGATTTGTGGGGTGTTAACTATATTGGTGGGGAAGTCAATGTTGGTAATTGTCATGATTCATAAGAGGATGTTAATTTGGATGTTGTGAAATTTGACAATGCTGATTTTTATAATGTTTCATGGAACAAAAAAAAATCTAAAACTTATTGAAAAAATTGTGCTAAACTTTAAGCTTTCTTTTGGTCTTCGTTATGTTCTTAGGTTTCTCTTATGCTTTGAGCATTCTAGTTTTTTGCTGGAGTGGGATCGTGGTCTCTGGGCTGGCCTTTTTGGTGGTGTGTCGCTCTCTTTATTGATGTTTGTTTGGGTTCTAGATCGGTCAACGAGTTCAAGTGCTGGTGGTTGTTTCTGTATCAGCTATGTTGGCTGTTTTTGTTGGCTATTAGCACTTCGGTTCTCGGATGGGCCCTTGGTGTTCTTTTTTAGATTTTTGGTTTGGTTTTTATTCACAGTCACTGTCGCTTGTGCCTGTTCATTTAGTTGTTCTACTTCTGCGGTTCGATTGCATTCATCTTTCTCCAAGCTTCGTTTTTTTTTTTTTGTTGGTCTGTCCTTAGTCCTTTTTTGGTCTTACTTTATCCTTTTTATGTAACTTGCAAGGGATTTTAAACTCCTTTGGTTGTAGCTCTTTGAGCATTTAATGAGTTTTCGAACCCTTTTTAAGCACTTTGTAACTTTTTTTCCATATTTAAGCTTAAGCCTTTTATGGGTTTTAATGAAAATAATCAAAATAATAATAATAATAATAATAATTTTGACTTGATTTTGAAAAAGAAACTTATAAATAAGTTTGAATAAGATTTAAAATTCAATGAATGTTTATACTGTGCTTGAAAATAAATGAATGAATTTAATCAATATTCTACTGAACTTAATTTAATTTATTTATAACCCTAAACATTAGCCAATAATAAAATGAATTCATTGGGCTATAGGGTTGTAAATGAGCCTAATTAATTTGATGTGAGTTCATTATCTGTTTATGTTTGGCTACTTCAAAATTTTGTTTGTTAAGAGTATGACACATCCTCTAAATTATTAGTGAATAGTATGCTTGTGTTTGATTCATTTGTTCTTATGTGGCTTGTGTTCGTTTGAAATACTTAAAAAATAATAATTTTTTTTTAAATAACTCATAAAAAATTAAGTAATTTGTTATTAAAATTTTCTAATTTCAATAACCAATTAAGTTTAAAATTTGACAACCAACAATATAATCTGACATTATAAAGAACAAGTTCATTATTAAAAAAATAAAATAAAATTTGTAAAATTTTTAATGACGGCCTAGTGACATATTATAAATATAGATTACTAAAAAAAAATGAAATTCATGAAATAAAGATGACTGATCATTCAAAATTCATTTGTTTTGCAAATTAAAAAATATAAAATCAAAACTAAACAATAATTCAATACTTAATTGTTCCATTTCAAGAAATTAATAAGAAAAAAAAAAACTTAGATTTCAGATGTAAATGATCAAAATCGGGAATCTAGCCATTTCAAGAAATCAATAAGAAATTAAAAAAAAAAATTACGCAGATTTCAACTGTAAATGATCAAAATCGGAAATCAAGAGACATATAGAATGAACTATTAAAGAAAAATATATTTATATATGCAGAGGGACCACCAAATGATGCATACATAAAATTGAGTATCTCGATCAAGTGGTTAATGCTGACATTGCATTCTTTATATTTCATATATATCAAACTAAATAAGATAAGAAGAAATAAATTTGCAGCTCATGTATTTTGAAACTTTCATTAAAGCAGTCGGACCTATTCACGAATATCGATACGAGGAATGTGAGCAATGTTGTGCCGATCGGAGCCTCCATCCTCTCGATAGCGCTCCTTCAACTCTGGATGACATTCCCCAATAATTGCTAGACATTCCAAAGAGGGAGGAAGGTTCGGTAATTCCCGAAGCATAGGAACATCAATAATAGTTAGATGCTGAAGTGAAGATAAGCTTTCCAAGTAGGAAGGGAGAGACTCTAAGGAACTGAAACACGTAAAGTACAGCTCAGAAAGGGAAGACCTAACTTTCAGAAACCACTGCTCCGCCTCATTTGGAAATGAAACCAACTCCTCATTATGCAGAAAATCCAGACTTTTTAAGGAGGCGATACTTCTCAATGGCTCCATTAGCAACACCAACGGATCACTTACTGTAAGTTGGTAGAGCATGAGATGGCAATAATTAGTGGTCTCCACTTCTCGATATCTTCCCAGAGAGATCAGATTGGGGCAATTTCTAATTGACAAGTTTCTTAGTGCTGTAAGTCTTGCTATTTCATCAGCCAAAGGAAGAGATGTAATGTTTGGACAGTAAAAGACCTCTAATGATTCAAGGGGAATAGGATTTGAATTGCTACACAAATTCAAAGTCGTCCACCCAATAGTATTTATGGACAAGATCTTGAGCTTAGGAGGCAAAGAGGGCAACTCCTTCAACTTTGGGCAGCTCCATAGATATAGTTTAATTAAGCAAGGAAAGAAACATCCATCTTCAGCAGCTACTCCTGCCTCAAACAAATCCTCTAATGCTTCTAATCTCTCAATATTTAACACTTCTAGCGATGGAAAGGGATGGTATTTATCATTCCCATTAAATTTACTTTCGAGCCATTTTACTTTCGGCATGTTCCGAATTTCCAGTGACTTGAGAAAGGGAAGTTGCCCGAAAGGAGGAAGAGTTTCCCACTCCAAGCAATGCCACAATTCAATTCTCTCTAGATTGAAGATCGGATTGACATTGTGCATCCATATTGCAGATCTTGCACCCATGTATCTCTTTATGCTCAGAATCCTCAGACATTTTGGTGGCTGAAGGTTGTCGAGCACGTTCTCATCTAAATCGATGTTCCTCGAATAAGTGTTACTCCAACATAAGGTTAGATCTGTGAGCCTCCGCTTGGCACATAACTTGGCACTACAAGCCTCTTCAACATCATTAACATTTTCAAGGCAATTGATTCCTAATTTATAAAGATAATTCATATTCTTCAACTCTCCAATTCTATAACCACTCGCATCTTTAAGATCAAACATATTCAGTTCTTGAAGAGACTTTAGCTTCCCAATCCCACATATCGACGTACTACAATCCTCGGGCAATTTCACATAACGTAAGTTAGAAAGGCTATTAATGCCACTTGGTAAAAAGTCATCAACATTATACTGGCGTGGGAAACAAGGAGTATGATAGATTATGTATTGCATGTGATAGAGATTACTTAGAGATCTTGGCAGCATATGAAACTTATTATTGTAAATATTCAAATATCGAAGATGTATCAAATTTCCAATCTCCTCAGGTATTTTTTTCGAGTCTTTTGAATCCCGTATGTATAATAAGCGTAGGCTTCTCGATGCTTTGAATACTTTAATAAGTGTTTAGAAGTTTCCAACTTTATTTTTTTCTCGAAATTCGTTCCCGATCAAGATTATTTTTTGATGATATATCAATAGCTTAGTCTTGATTAGTAAAAAGTAAATTAATACAATTACTTCTTTCTCTTAAATAGAGCATGCATATAAGAGAAAATGATCAATTTCTTATATATAAAAAGTGTATAGTGAACATTTCCTCTTCGTTGTCTAATGTATTGATTGCTAGCATAAATTTGAATAAAAATGCAGCTTAATGATATAAAAAAAAAAAATGCAGCTTAATGATATCAAAAATCAACGATCTTTAGCTCGTTGGATTCGTGTCGTCGAGCCGCTCGATTTGACTATAAGCAAATAAATTTTGGAAACCGTTTGATCATCCAAATTATGTTTTGGACCTTCTAAATGTGCTTCGGGTCCTTGATTTGGACTCATTTGTGCTCGGATTGAGTTGAATTTGGTGTTGTTGGGTTCGTATTTTTGAGACGTTCAATTCAACTATAAGTTTATTGAAATCGGAGTTATGATGGTCTCTGATTTAATTTTAGAAGTTTCCAACTTTATTTTTTTCTCGAAATTCGTTCCCGATCAAGATTATTTTTTGATGATATATCAATAGCTTAGTCTTGATTAGTAAAAAGTAAATTAATACAATTACTTCTTTCTCTTAAATAGAGCATGCATATAAGAGAAAATGATCAATTTCTTATATATAAAAAGTGTATAGTGAACATTTCCTCTTCGTTGTCTAATTCCCCCCCCCTATCAAGAGATAACTTTCGATTAAGGCTAGTCGTCAAATGGGTACATTGTATCACACATGTACTTAGTATTCAACATGCATATAGTAGCAATAGTTTGAGGTATTTGAAAATTTAATATTTAAAATTTGAAATTTATCATCTTTTATTTAAATAGGATGATGGGAGAATGATGAAGAACCTGATCAAGATCTCATGGTTCTATCATTTTAGGTCATCATGATCCATGGTCTACTTAGTCAGAGGAGGTAGTAGACTAAATCTGAAAGAATGATCCTTGTCGGCAACCATATGTTGATTCATATAAGGGTACCTTATAGACATTAGGTGAATGTTTATCTAGAGGGGCAAATTTGATTCTACCTTAGCGAACAAAGTTCTTTGTATCATATCAATTATATTTTATTTATTCATATTTTAAGGATTTGAAGCCATTGAGGGAATATACGGGCTCTGACCATGATCGTAATTTAGTGATGTCATTTGGCAGTAAATCACCCGGTTCAGAGGGCCCTGGTCATAACCGTTTACATGCGATGTCATTTGGCGGCAAAACCGTCGGAAGGAGACTCACTTGAGAATGAATCCTAGTGAAATTCTCGACCAAACATTCGCTCTTTGTGAACTAAAATAATTTTTAAACGTGTCCACCCATACAAGTAGGAAGTCAGGCGGAATTTCGGTGGTGGTCGTGGAGGAGTTTCTTCCCTTCAATCCTTCTCTTCTTCTTCTTGCTTGGATCCCCTCTCAAGAGAAATGAGGGGTCTATTTATAGATTTTTGGAGTGGCATAGCCCGTAAACAGGAGAGAGATAAGGAGCAAATGTGGAGTGGTTCGATGGACGGCCGATATTGAATCCCATTGATCGTGGACCGTTCATCTGACATTTGAAGGTCTTAATGATATCGGAATTCGGCGGTTTTGGGCTCGTTGGATTTGTCTCGTCGATCCGCTCGATTCGATTGAAAGAACGTTATGTTTGGAAATCGTTTGCTAACTGAAATTATGGTTTGAACTTTCCAACAGCGCTTCGGGTGATTGATTTGGACTCATTTGGGCTCGGATTGAGTCGAATTTGGTGTCGTTGAGTTCGTATTTCCGAGATGCTCAGTTTAACTATAAGCTCGCTGAAATCAGAGTTCAGGTGATCCCGGATTTAATTTTTGAAATTTCTGACTTGATTTTGCCTGGAGATTCGTGCCCGATCAAGATAACTTCTACTATTATTGTCACTGCAATTGATTTGCCTCTCGTAAGGATCTCAAACTGATTCTGCTTGAAATAATTGCTTATTCCTACGAAAAGATGCATATCGTATTCAGTTTGTCAAAATTTAGGATGTAAAGAAATTGTTTTGAAGTTGACAGTTTATCCTTTTTTTGTAATATCTAGTTTGATGTTACTTCATCATATAGTAAACTGAAACCTTCAATATCTTCCCGATTTGTAAAATTAAATGATCTAGTTTTCTAGTCTTGGCTTTGATTTATTTTTGATCACAGCTGAACCTCTTGAAGTTAATGGAAATCTACTAAAATGCAATGGATTTCTGCTAAAATGCTTGTTTACTGATCTCAAACTGATTCGCTGGTCATCGAGAGCGAGCAAGGATGGAGGATCAGTGAGGCATGAAAGTAATTAAGATTATTTTGTTTAGTTTAATTGAAATAGGTGCTTATAGTTATAGTGTTTATGACTTTTTTTCTCAAAGAAATTGTTTGTTAAGGGATGGTTTGGAATCCCTTTTTATTTAATTTTTATTTTTAAAACAGATTTTGTTTGTATTATTTAGCCTTTTTTTGTTTATTTTAAAAATAAATCAAGTTGTATTTGAAAATAATAAAAAAAAAATTTATGTGATTTCATTTCTTCTAATAAAACCACCCAGATCATCTTATTTAGGATACAAAATAAAAATAATTATTACCAAATATTTTTCTATTTTAAAATAAATATAAAACTTATGTAGGATATCAAATATATTTTTATTTTATATTAAATTATAAATAAATTAATCACCCCCTTTTAGTTACTTGCTCTATCATAAAAAGGGTAAATGCCTGCTAGCTTGCACCCACTTCTATCCACCAAGCAATTTATTCTTTGGGGCAAATCGTCAAACACATAAGAAACGCTCCTACCTACCGCCACAAACTTCCTCAATCTCCTCTGCTGGACGCGTAGCGGCCGCCATGGACACTACGCACTAACTAGAAGAGATAATTCTTGTTCTAAACACACCTTATATATAGATTCTTCGTCCACATTCTCTCATCGACTCACTCCACAACTTCTTCTGTGCTATTATAGCAGCAAAACACGGCGGTGTGATAAACAAGACGCCTTAGAGATCTGCACACATAGGGCTGCATGCGAATCAAACGCTCCATGAGCTACCCGTTATTCGGTTCAACTAAAGCTCGTTTGTGATCGTTTAATTAACTAAACAAACAAACTTGAACAATATTTTAATTAATCGATCCTTAAATACACTAATATGTTCGGCTCATTTATGTTCGTGAACAACATCGTTTAAAGCTCGTGAATAAGCTTGACATTAAGCTCGATAAGAAGCTCAATAAAAGCTCGATTCATGTACAATAGACATTTCACATTTGTCCATATTTGCTTGATTGTTGTTTAAAATATTCATGAACAAATATAAAATGAATCATAGATCACTTGTTCGTGAACGAGCTCATTTAGTAGCTCAAAAAGACTAGTTATATATGATAGTGAACTTGCTCATTTGGTAGCTCAAGAAAACTCATTAGATATGTTCATGAACGTGCTTGGTTGATATTTTAAAAAAATTCACTGAATATGTTCGTGAACATGCTCGATGTAATTATTTGTTATGAGGCTTGATAAAGCTCGTTTGTTAAGTTAATAAACAATAGAAGTAGAGCTCATTTATAGTTCTTTAAGGCATGTTTGTTTAAAGCTCGATAAGCACTAAACGTATTGAACATGAACCGAACATGAACACTCATTAATTTAAACGAACCAAACATAAACACAAACGATAAAGCTCGAATCAAATACGAACCTAACTTGAACAAACTGATAATAAATGAACACAAACATAAACACTCACATACTCGGCTCGGCTCGGTTTGTTTGTAGCCCTATGTACACATCTCATGTGCCCAATGCCATGCACTAGGTTCCTTTTTCTGATCTGTGCGTAATAACCACTCGTTTCAAACTATCTAATCTAGGCTGTTGATGTCACTGTCCGTCTTTAGCTATGAATAAGGGGTGTCAACAGAGGGTATCGGGTCAGGTTCGGATCAAATCCAAAACTAATTCGGGTTCAAACGGGTTGATCCGAACTCAGCCCGGTTTTGCAAACTGTAAAAAACATGAACCCGGACCCGACATGTCGGGTTACCTACAGGTCAACCTATCCCGACATGGTTTTGCAAACCCAAATTGCGTCAACAACGAGACGACGGCTGGCAAGGGTATTTTGGATTGCGTTGACATTGGGGACGCGAGACGGCTCGACGTGTGCATCAGGAAACGCGACTCAGCGCTGTCACGTAGGTAGAAGTGGCGCAGTCACGCAAGCATAAGTGGCGTGGTCATGCGGGTAGAGGCGCAGCAAGCGATGTGGGCGGTGCGGTCACGTGGGCAGATGCGTGGCAAGCATTATGGCCATCGCGGTAATCTCGAGTCAATCCGGGTCATTTTTTGGTTTCCGAGTCAACCTGAAACCTACCCGATTTTTGAAGCGGGTTAGTTTCTTTAACCTAAACCCGGCCCGTTTCACAAACGAGGTGACTCTAAACCGGAATTTTTGGGTCGGGTTCGAGTCAGATTTTTGTGTTTTGTTAAATTTTGACACCCCTATTATGTATCACTATATGTATGGATGAGTTTAAGATAGAACAATATGAAACTATTAATATGAGACGAAACATTTTCCTCCTGCATTAATATATATAACTTCTATTTTATATTATATATTTAGATATAATTTATACCTATTAATATTTTAAAAAAATTTATATTATAAAATTATATCAATAAATTCATGTTATATTATTTATTATTATAAAATAGATAGAAAATCAGTTTTTATATTATTTAATTAAATAAAAATGAAAAAATAATAGATAAAAATTAAAGATCAGTTACATTATTAAATTTTAATTAAAAAATAGACTGTTTTCTACCCATATGAAATGATGCAAATCTTTTAAAATGAGGTATTTTTGTCTCCACCTCTTCTTTCTTAGTTATGTTCTTTTATTCAGGCTCTTTGTAAAAAGAACTCTCCAGCAAAGAATATTTTTTCTCTTTGGAACCCTTTTCTTTTTTTGATAAATTATCTCATTTTATAGACAATTAAACAATTCTGTTATTTAAATTACTTTTAAAAATTAAAAAAAAAACTATAAATTCTCTGCATGGTTAATATGAAAAAGAAATTTATATAATATTAATCATCTCAAAAGTATATATATACATGATAGATATAACTTTTAATTAATTTTAAGATATTATTTTTGAATTTAAATATACTAATATTTAATATTTATATTCTATTTTAATTAATTTTAACCTTATTTATACTAAATATAGAAACAGAGAGCAGAAAACAGAGAGAAGAACAAATAACCTAGCATATTTCATTTCAAGGCACTCTTGAAAAAGTACATGCTATTTTTTGAGAGCAACGTATTATAATTACATAATTTGTTATAAATAAGATGCTGTGATTAAAGAATTGGTTAGAGCTGTACGACACTGATGATATTTTGATAGCAAGCTTGCCGGGTGCTTTATAACTTAATCATTATTTGCTTTGTTTGATTTGAAACAAAAAGAATGGTGATGGTGTCCATAATAGAGTTATTTAGTTCTAGACAACATTGCTTTTGGCTTTTTTGGGGTTTTGGTGGTTTTTCTTGCTATGCCTTTCCTACCTGTTGGAAGAACATATGGTGCTCTTTTTGGTGTCATGCTCATGGTTATCCTCCAAGGGATTTCTCCATATGAAGCCTATGGAGCCATTGATCTTCCTATTCTTGCTCTCCTCTTTGGAACCTTGGTTGTTAGCATCTACCTGGAAAGGGAAGACATGTTCAAGTATCTTGAGAAATTGCTAACACCAAAGGGTAGAGGAGGCAAGGATTTGCTCATTAGAGTCACCTTGTTTCAGCTATTTGGAGTGCTTTGCTCACTAATGACACTTGTTGTGTTATTCTCACTGAATTCATCTTAAAAACTGTGAGGCAGAACAATATCCCTTGCCAAAATTTTCTTCTAGCTCTTGCTTCTAGCTTATATATTGGATCAGTTGCTACTCCCATTGGTAATCCACAACCTTGTTATAGATATTCGAAGTAAGATTTCTTTTAAGAAATTCTTGTTTGGGATCATGTCTTCTATGTACTCGCTGATTCATTGTCATGTGTTATCCCATCCGCAAAAGTTACGAAGAAATTGATTGGCTTGTCGATAAAATAGCCTTTTTTTAGTCTGGAAAAAAGGGCTACGCTCTTACAAAGAGGTATTTCTGTGTACAACTCAAGAGGCTCATTACCTGCACAAGGAAAAGGTTTCGGTAAAGAGAAGCGGGCTTCCATGACTCTCGAAGCTTCCTAGTCTTCTTAAGTCTTTGGAAGATCTCTAAGGTCAAGGAGGTCGTCGGCATAGAAATCATTGCTAAGAAGATTCCCCCTCTTGGCCGCCCACACTACATCTTTGGCCTCGTCGGCTTGATACCCCGGATCCTTCATTAGCTTCATATCAACCTGGACATCGTTAAAGAAAAAAAAAAAAGCTTTTACAGATAGACATAAGAGAGCTAAGGAAATGTGACGATGAAGAAAATGGTTGGAAGGAGATGAGCGTTTGGTGGAGCATTGAATGGTTGCAAGAGTCTGTGGCCATAATAATTTCTCCCGTGATTTTGTGTTGGGTCAGAACAACCCGGAAACTCGATGGGTCGGGTTCGGGTTGTAATTTCTGACCCATTTGTAAAAAATGGGTCGGGTTCGAATCACATCAAGCATTGGCAGGTTATAATCGGGTTTGACCCGAACCCAACTCACAACCCGATTTTGACACCCCCTATCAACTATATTTGAGCTCAATGTTGACCTAAAATTATACAATATTCATCATATGCATATAGCTTAAGTCAAGAATGATAAATTTTTCATTATCATATTAAAGTAAATCTATAATTAAGTTAGAAGAAATGTGCGAATAGTTGGTCAAATATACACCATAATATTAAGGCAATCAATATCCTCAACCAGCTTCTACAAGGAAAAAAACTTAAATGAATATCATATTAAATGTATTATATAAATCAACTGAGTGTAAGGCATGATAAAAGTATTCACGATGGTAAAGAATGTTATAGATGAGTAGTTCAAGAAAAATGCGAGGATTTTTAAGAGAAACACAAATGCATGTTCATCACTTTATCTAATACAGAATATTAATTATATTTATTTATTAAATATCCAAAATAAGAAAAACTAAATTTATCATTTCAAAATTGTCTTTCCTACATAACAAATTACCTTCCAAATTAAATAATTTAAAATAAAATTGAACAAAAGAACTTACAATTCTTTAGTTAACTCCAATATCTCAAGTACTTTTGTAATAACTTGAAAAACCTTCTTAATGCAAAGAAGCTACACTTATTATTCATCAAATAGATAAGGTTTGATAATGGCTAGGGATGATAATACATTAATATATATAAGTTCATATCTTGATTTGAAATTTTAATAAAATCACCCAGATCATCTTATTTATGATACAAAATAAAAATAACTGTTACCAAATATATTTCTATTTTTAAAAAAATATAAAATTATGTAGGATATCAAATATATTTTTATTTTATATTAAGTTATAAATAAAAAAATAAATATTTAAATAAAAAATAAAAATTGAAAATTGATCTCAAACAAGCTCTTAATATTGATTGTTGATAATTTATCAGGATATGTTTAAGATCGGTTTTCTTTTTCATTTTCGTTTCTAAAAAATATATTGGTTGGTGTGCTTTTAATGGTTTTGATTTATTTTTTAAATAAATCAAAATATTTTTTTTAAAATTTTAAAATAAATTTTTTGGGTTAGGGTTGATCTCAAAAACAAATATAACAATGGTAACTTTACGATTGCTACTGATCAAAACCGCTATGTTCATCTCATATCTTATCGTCATTGCCTCGTCTGCAACTATCAAATTCAAGGCTGCAAAATGAGCCAAGCGTTCAACGAACTACTCGTGGCACAGCTCGATAAGAGCTCGTTCGTATTCGTTTGATAAATTAAATAAACAAGCTTGAACACTTTTGATAAATACTCGATAGGAAAATAAACAAGCTTGAATAGCCTGACGTTTGGTTCATTTATATTCACGAATAGTATTATTTAATGCTTGTGAACAAGCTCGTTAAGAAGCTCGATTAAAGCTCCATTATAGTTTTAAAAATAAATATCTTTAAATTAATTTTACGAATTTAATTATTTTATAAAATTTTAAAATATTTGAATCAGTTGAATCGGGCACACTTCACTGCGGCTCTTGCTCTTCGTTCCATCAGGAAAAAAAAACATGCTAGTGAATGGGTTGGGCTAACTGAGACAACATGAAAAAAAAAAAAACTTGAATCTTATCGAGCCGAGCTCAAACACGATGTTGACAAACAAGCTTGAACTCGAACATACTGAAACTAGGCTCGACTCAATTCTTTTGCAACCATAGCAACCACCATCATTACATATAGATAACTTTTTAAATATATAATAAAATTAAAAATAGCATTATAAAGATGTCAAATATGCTTTATTTCATGTAAAGTTAAAAAATAATAATAATATAAGTAAAACTAAGCTTTATTTGAAAAAGTTGTCCCAAATAAAACCTAAGATAAAAAATGAACATGAAAAACAATCCCATAGGGGGCTGTCAAATCACATTTGTTTTTATTTTTAATCTTAATTTTAATTTGATTTTAATGTTTTTATTTATAATAAAATATATCTGATTTGTTAAAATATAATTTTATTTTTATTAAATATTGAATAAATTGATTTATATGGTGGTGTGTATAAAGACAGCGATGGCCAGCAGCAAGAAGAATTGTTTTTCCAAATTTTCAAAACAATTCTTATGTTTTTAAAATAGTTTTAAAAATAATTTAATTTATTTTAAAACATAATAAATAAAAATATGTAGAAACTACAGTAAATAAACATGTTTAAAACAAACATGTTTAATATTAAAAAAAAATAGTAAACAAAAGGACAAAAAAACAAAGGTCCTCCTTTAGTTACTTGCTATATCATAAAGAGGTTAATGCCTGCTAGCTTGCGCCCACTTCTATTCCACCAAGCAATTTATGCTTTGGGGCAAATCGTCAAACACATACGCGACGCTATGGATTTAAATGCTCTGCTACCTACCGCCACAAACTCCCACAAGCTCCTCTGCAAGACGCGTAGTGGCCGCCATGGACCCTACGCACTAACTAAAAGAGAACTTTATAGTTTCTAAGTACAGCTTATATATAGCTCTTCGTACCCATTCTCTCATCGACTCACTCCACAACTTCTTCTGTGTCATTATAACAGTAAAACATGGCGACGAAGCCGAGAGTTTTGGCAGTTGTATTACTTTTGCTGATTGGTGTTGAGCTAATCGCTGCCGGAAGAGCTGCCATTAAGGCCAGCGGAGGGGGAGGCGAGGGCGGTGGAGGTGGTGGTGGCCGTGGTTCCGGGTCTGGTTATGGCTCGGGCTACGGCAGAGGCGAGGGTTATGGCGGTGGCGGTTATGGACGAGGTGAAGGGGGAGGCGGAGGTGGCGGGTCGGGTTTGGGATCAGATGGTGGTAGTGGATACGGGTATGGATCTGGGTCTGGATCCGGATATGGATCCGGAAGTGGGAGCGGTGGTGGCGGTGGTGGTGGTGGAGGTGGTGGCGGCGGTGGGTCTGGTCATGGAAGAGGATCTGGGTATGGTAGCGGGTCGGGTTTTGGAAGTGGATCGGGTGGTGGAATGGGAGGAGGTCGTGGTGGCGGTGGCGGAGGTGGAGGCGGATCTGGTGAGGGGCATGGCGAAGGATCTGGTTACGGGTCTGGTTATGGATCCGGATACGGAGGTGGTGGGCAAGGCTAGTTTCTGTGCTGTGGCTCTTCCCGTTTAGGCATTGGTTCAATGAGAAGCACTGCATAATTGCCTCATTGCTTATACAAATACCAATCAATAAAGCAGTGCTATATAATATAAATAAAGTGATTGTACAATCTTTGATTTCCTTTGGAAATACTTTTAATGGCTTTTATGTTTTATCGCAAAAATAATAATTTATTAGAAAATCATGTATGCTTGAAAGAGCTTTTTCATTACTTTTCAACTTTTTATTTAAAAAAACTAAAAAATAATTTTGAAACTATGGTTAAACAAAGAGCTTTAAAAGCACAAATAGAAAAGTTTAAGGCTTCGTTTGAAACAATTTTTTTATTGATTTTTAAAGCAGTTTTTTAGTATAAAAATTTTTAATTTAAGAATTTTTTATACTAAAAAATTGTTTTAAAAAGCAGTAAGAAAGCAGTCCGAAATAAATGCTTCGTTTGGAATAGTTTTTTTATTGTTTTCTAAAACATATTTGTAGTACAAAAGTTTTTTAAAGTAAAAAATTTTGTACTGAAAAATTGTTTCAAAAAACAATAAAGAAACTGTCTCAAATGAGCCCGAAGCCTATGTTATCCCAAATAAAACTGAACTATTTGATTTGATTTTGCTTGTTTATGTTTAATTTTTCAAAACAATAATATTTTATTTATATAATAAAATCTACGTAAGAAACTACAATTTCATGCTTTTCAACTTTTTCATAATAAATCTATGAATAAATAAATTGAATAATGATTTTATTAAAATATTGAGTGTTGAACTATAATACTCATATTGAAATTCATTGAAGGTTCCCAAAACATAACCAAAAATTGAAATCCCTTTACAAATGAAAATATATAAGTAAAAAATTCAAAACCTTAGATCGAGGTCCTCTTTTCTAACTGAGCTCAACAGTTTTTTTTTTTTTTAAATAGCTTTTACTTAATTAGAACTAATTCATCAGGTTGTAAGCATTTGCTCGAAAAAAAAAAAAAACATCATATACACTCTAGAAATTGATTTAGTACTGCAGTGTTTCTCAAAACCTGAAGTTCTTGCCCTCGAATGTCTGGCCAAACTGCCACTTTGAAGGAACAGCATGCCAAGAGGTGGAGCGGCGGCCATCACCGCCGGTGACTCTGAAGGTGAGAGAACGACCGACGAGGATGGCATCGGTTTGCCAGTATTGGCCCCAGTTATGGCTTAGTGTTATCCATGGCAGCCTGTGCCCTTTCACCTGAACTCGGCGAACATCACCAGCACCGGCGACATTCCATACTAGTATCAAGTTGAAGTAACGGTTGCCGGTAAGTGTGAATCGGATTCCTCCCTCCTTCTTGCATGGAACCCTAATCAATATAAATTCATAAATTAATTGTCTAAGTATTAGCCTTCATTTCTTTCAAAAAATCGAAATATACTAAGAAAAACATGATATTTAATACTGTTGATTACCTGCGGTAAGAGACGGGAACAATGCCGGCTTGGTACTGTGCGATATGGAGAAAAGCCGGCTGCGTGAGATCGAAGTGCGGCCGCGGCGGGTTGCACCAGCCGCCGTTGTCGCCGGGGAGGTTGTAGTTTGGAGGGCAGAGGTTGGTGGCGGTGACGAAGAGCGAGGGCTCGCCGGCGTTGCACCACTTGGGATCATCCACACACTTTATCTCATAACAGGCGCCGCAAGAGAGCCCATCGTTGAATAGCGCCGAGCTCAACGCCGCCGTCTGTAAGCCGTAGCCTTGCGCTACCGTGTCCCAATACCCGCATGCGCCCTCTGCGTTTATGTATTTATGTTTAAAAAATTAATATTAATTATAATTTCATGTGATTTATTAAAGATTTGAGTATTGTATAAATAAATATAAAAATTTGTATGGAATTATTTATTGTGTAGAGACCGAGTATTTATTTTATTTTAATGATAGACTAAAATAAAATAAATACATTTAAAATATAAAAGGATCGTGATCCACAATTTAAGCAGTTAATTTCTCATTTCTCTCATTTTCATCTTGAGTGAAAAAAAGGGGTCAATCGTTCTCTTGTAGAACGCCGCTTCAAACATAGAAGAGCGAAAACCTCGATTTTGCATTTCAATGGATTAAGATACGCTTTCAATATTTTTTATCGATGATTTAACATGTATTTCAAAGGTAATGAAATTATTTTTCATCTCCATTGAATCCTAACAAAATTAATTTGCATTTTTTTTTTTTTGCAAATAAATTCCAATCACTGCATGTTTCATGCACAAAAAAAAAAAAGTTAATGCTCAGAATACAAGGCGTTTATTTCATAATTGTAATTTTTAATTATTTTGTAAAACATTTTTTGCAAGGAACAATTTTCTCGAAATGTCCCAAAAAAAACAAACAATTTTCTCGAGTACTACATTAATGAGTTGTACCATTTGATTACCTCTTGTTTGAGAACCATCACTGCCTCCATAGAATGTGGCGTGTGCTGGGTACCATGGGCCGGGCTCGAACTTGCCATGGTACCTGTGCCTTGGGCGGGCCGAATACGGCCCTGGCTTCCTGTTCAGAAAGGCTCGCCGGAGCTCGCCGGTCCGGTCATGATGGTGGTGCTGGCCAGAAGCTTTCGTTAACAAAAGCAAGAAAAAGAACAAAAATGCCCGCGTAGCTCTGTAGAAAACTCGCAACGATTTTGCCATGGCGTTGTTGGTGAATAGTTTCTGTGTTCTTGGATGAAATTGATAAAGCTGTAGTTATATATATAAGCGTATAGGCTTAGTGGTCAGAATTGGTTAAGTCATTTTCACCATTGGTTTTGGAAGGCTGAGTTTTGTCAATAATTAGGAGGAATTGAGTGATTGTCTCTTAGCCTTTGATAATTATTGGTATAAGTTCATGGTTAATTTGGGTATGGATGTGTGGCCAAGATCATTGTTTTAGGTGAAGGATAGGGTATGAATGAGATAATTAATGAATATTTATGGAAAATTTGAATATTTGTATTTCGGGTGCGAATGATATTTTTGTATCTCAGATAAATATGCCCAAAAGTTTTATTCATATCAAAATATCTCCGCTTCGAATCATGAACTACGTACCTTCATTTAAGTCAGATTCAATAAAATGTGATAAAAAAAATTAAATTGCATTCAATAAAACTTGATCAAAGTTGGGAATATACTGATGATCAAATATTTTTCAAACTATAATTAAAAGTTGATCGATCATTTTTATCCGAATTTTTTTTATTAATGTCCTAACATGATTTGAATAAGATTTACATAAGATATTATTATAAAATTTTATAAAAAAATTGAATGTCATATTTGAATACAATTTGTTAGATGTTTGACATAACACTATAAATTCAGAGAGAGTTAATTACAAATAATATAATAAATCAAACTATAATATGTGTTAAATAATGATCAAACAAGGTTCGAGTATAGTAGACACAATAGATAGCGGTTAGATCATACACAGGGGCGGAACCACTTTGAGGCCTTGATTTTTTTTTTTTCGTTATACTTTTATTTAGGTAATTTGTCCCCTTTTAATCTATTTTTAAGTCTTTATTACAAGAGTTTTTAGGCAATTACTCTCCCTAAAATTGTTAAAATACTATGGTCTTTAGCCAATTGCCCCAAATATAATTAAATACATTATTTAGATGTGTTATTGTTAGGAAATGATGAACTAAATACAAATTAAGAGAAATAGTAAATCAAAATTTGTTCTGGGGGCGCTGCCCCCAAAAACCCCGCAGGATTTTTTTTCTTCTTTTATGTGATAGAAATGGCACCACATGTGTCTCTGCATGCCTACTTTGGAACTAAGCTCCAAATAGGTTGGTTTTAGGTTCACCGTTTATTTTTGTGTGTAGATTTAAGCTTGCATGTGGAGTGGTATTTTTTTTTTTTTTTGCCCAAATCTTTTGCCTAGTACAATATGATCAGCACACAAAATAAACCTAATATTTTTTCATAAATAGAAATGGCACGCACAACAGTAATATTAGTTGCCTAATAAATCTTCCTAATATCCTCTCATTCAAGTTTTAAACATAAACTAATCTTGCAATAATTTCCCCCTCTCCTTATCCTTAGAAATTAAGTAAGACCTAATGCAAACCACAAAGTGAAAATAAAACATCAAGAAGATATAATATCATTGAGATTGAATTTAAAAAAAAAACACACACAGCAAGAAAATATAAAAATACATATTATTAGAGGAACAATAAAAAAAAGCAAGAAGATCAACACAAAAAATGAAAAAACCTAATATAAATCTTACCCAACGTTTGCTTGGTTTCATGTATGATTCAAGAAGGAGAAGAAGGTGCGAACGACGGCGGCAAATGGAGACGGTGGCAAATGGAAACAGCGGCGTCAATATCTGTTTTGGCGTCGGTGTGGGTGTCGACGTCAGCTAGGGGTGCAACCGATCAAGCAGGCTCGCGAGCCGGCTCGAGCTAGACTCGAAGCTTGACTTGATAACAGGCTCGACGAGCCGAGCTTATCGAGCTCGCGAGTCGAGCTCGAACACAGTTTCGAGCTCGAACAGGGCTCAGACTCGGCTCGACGAGCAGCTCGATTGGGCGACTGAACGAGATGTTCCGAACGACGGATCTCAACGGCAGAGCCTCAGGACGATGCGGAACGAGCTCAGGCGGATGGATCTCGACGGCGTAGCTCGGGACGACGACGAACGAGCTCAGGCGAACGTATCTCCATTGCGAAGATACGGAGCTTAGGCGGATCTCGACGGAAAAGCTTCAGGACGATGAAGAGTCGAGCTCGGGCGGACGGATCTCGTCGGCGGAGCTCGGGCGGATGTATCTCGACGGCGGAGCGGAGCTCGGGCGGATGTATCTCGACGGCGGAGCTAAGGATGACGACGAACGAACGCGACGGCGAGTTCGGGCTGACAGATCTCGACGGTGAGCTCTGGCAGACGTGTCTCGACTGAGGAGATCGGGCAGACGTGTCTCGACAGCGAACATGATGAGCTCAAATTGAGCTCGACGAGCTGCTCGACATGGGACGAGTCGAGCTCGAGCTCGATTTCTGGTAGTCGAGTTCGACTCGAACAACCCCCGGCTCGAGCTCGACTCGACTCATTTGCACCCCTAGCGTCAGCGTCCGTTGGGAGGGAGACGGGTCGTGCGAGGAGCAAAGAAAGAGGTCCGAAGAATAGAGTTAGGTCTTATTTTGCGCTTATTAATTTTTGAAGTTTTTCGCTGCTTTTTTACCATTCCCGCCTAAAAGAATACGCTATATCGGGTCTATTGTAGTGGTATTTAATTTGCTGCTAATAAATATTGCGATAGTCTCATTTTTTTTAGTAGTGAATATTATAAAAGTTAAAAATAAATGCAGAATCTCAGAAAAATCTTAATAATAACTTTTAATATATCATAATCGATATTTAACTGATTTACAAATGATTTTTAAATTTATATAAATTAATTATGGCTAGTGTTTGTTTATTTTTTTGTTATGCTTTAAAAATTTTTATGATGTTTCAAGTCCGGATGAAAAAATTTTTTTGCTCTGCCACTCATCTCAACTAGGTTTAACTTGATTAAATTCCCATCTGAATAAAATTTGAAGAATCTTATTCAATTATAGTTTAAACTAGATTCGAACTTGATTCGGCCTTTGTTTGAGCATCTTTTAACCATTAATAGCAACCGATAATTTTGAATGAGTTGTTTAACTATCTAAAATTGATTTTTAAGCCGCATGTAGTAATTCAATTTTTTTTAAAATTTCTCGGTTTGGTGACTCTTCCATATTTGCTCTTAAACTTGGACTCATACTGCATCAACAACAAGTTTTTCATATGGTCTATATATTTGATCTTTATCTATTGTTCTAGAAGATGTAGATAGATTGACATGAGTATCTCTATGTGATTTATACTCGTCATGTGAGGTTCAGAATTAATATCCTGAAACAAATCTCCTATGATATAAATAAGCTTTAACATCATCGGACTTAAAAAAGTTTGATTTTTGTGTTTCAAGTATGGACATCTAAATATTCCATCAGACTTAAACGGAGGTAGTTGACATGCTACTTGAATGAAAATCTCAACTCTCTCAATTCTTTTCGTCCCGGAATTAATCTGTTTTACATCCAATATCTCTCTTCTTGAATAGTCATGCAGATGTTGAATTAATAATCCTAATATATATTATAAATTATGAAAATTAAATTTATTATTATAAATATGCATCTTTCCCTCTTATGAATTAGCCTAAAGTACAATAGCCATGTAGGATATTTTGTCATGAAAACACATATTTTACTAATTTGAACCCTTATAACAATCTTACAAATTTATGTAATAAGAAATTATGCTCATATAAGTTTATTGATTGCCTCTAATAATGATAACCAATTGAATACTGAAATTTTTGCCCATAATCAAATAACAAATTTCTTGTCTCGAATCATGTAACAATCCATTGCTTGTCTCTAATCATGTTCATGAGATTTTAGAGTTATACTCTATTATATTATTTCTTAACTAACATTTTCTTATTTAAATAGAGTAATTCTTCAATATTTTTCTCTAAACTGAAATAAAATATTTTCCCGCTGTTGAAATTGTGCAAAAATTTCACCCAAAAAAAAATATATATATATATATAT